AATAGGAAGGCAGCAATGAAGAAGCCCACAGTGATATAGGCCATGTCTTGCCGGGCCCAGCCATGCTCAAAGCAGCGGGTAGTGCCTCCCGGGCCAGGCCGAAGAGCCTGGGCAGAGACCAGGGATGGAGCAGCACAGGCCAAGCAGAGCATCCAGGTAGCAGTACAGGCAGCCTGGGCCACGCGAAGCTGGTTGAGGGGCAGGCGGGTACCAAACCCAGGCTTGGGCCCCTGCACAGTGCAATAACGGCTGACGCTGATGAGGACCATGAAGGTGATGGCAGCGTAAGTGGCAGCGTAGTATGTGGCTCCAGTGACGTGGCAGACAGAGGCAGGGAAGGGCCAGTGAGCCCGGCCTAAGTAGTAGGTGAGCCAGAAGGGCAGTGTGAGGGTGAAGAGGATGTCTGCCACAGCCAGGTTGAGCAGGTAGAGGCGCAAAGCCTGGCCTAGTCTTCCCCCACCCCTCCCAAAGACGGCCAAGGCAGCCAGGTTGGCAGGCAGGCCCAGACTAAGGACCACTGCGTAGGCTGCTGGCACCACGATGAAGCGGGCAGGATCATCCCAAGGGCCACATCCTCGAATGCCTGCATCTGCTTCTGTGTTGTTCATTGGATCCCAGGGAGTGGTGGGTGGGCTGTGGGAAGAAGGAGGAGAGAGGAACATGAAGGGTAAAGGGAGGGAAAGCAAACAAAGGCAAAGGGAGGGCTTAGCTCCTTTGTCCCCTCCTCCTACCCTTCCCAAGGAAACCAGCCTTCCTAAACCCCGCAGCCACCCCTTTTGCTCCCGCAAAACTCTCCCAGTCTTTTCTCTAAGTCCTTCCCCTGCAACACCCCTTCTCTCACCTCCACAGATCACTTCACTCCACCTTCACTCCAAGCCCTTCCTGAAGAATAACCGTGAATCTGAGGCCAAAATGGAAATATATGTGGGGGAATCTGCCCTGAGCCCCACCCTAATCCCCAGTCAGTGCCCATTGGACAGGAAAAGTAGAGACTGGAAAACTGAGGGTCCACATACAAGGATGAACAGTGAGTCAGTTCCTCCCTAAGCCAGCAAGGGTTATCAAGAGAGTTCATTCCTCAGGCAGCTTCTTCAATCTCGAGTTTGGCATAGAGGGAGGAGGCAAACCCAGGAGTGATGGGCCCTCCCTGGTCCACTGTACCTCACCCCAAGGGACAGCTTATTGCCAAATCTAGTCTGTACCCTCCCTCCACATCATACACCCACACAGAGCCATACCAGCACACACGTTGAAATGTGTTCACGATATAGGAACTTACATACACATTGACCCGTACAGATTATATATAGATATGCATGTAAATGCATATTTCTACACACAAAGAGATCTAGAAGGATGTTCTCATACATATGGACACAACTATGAGGAAATACAGAAGTATGCAGACATCCAGTCTGAAATATACATACACAGGATAATGCCTACATGAATACATATTCACATAAATATCTGTACACATACATGCGATAGTAAATTAAGTAAGATGTATGAGGAAGAGTTAGCAAGTACGGAAATAAAGTCTTCTTCAGAGATAAGTCAGAGAAGTCCCACCAATGAACTTTCTAGTCTCAGAAAAGAGGGTGGTGTCTAGGAGGGTGCTAGGGTCAAAATGGAGGCCCTTTTGTTTCTTTAGGGGATCTCAGACTCTACCAATATGATTCAATTCAATTCAATTCAACAAGCATATATTAAGCACCTAATATGTGCTAAGCACTGGGCATACAAAGACAAAGTGAACAATCCCCGCCCTGAAGTTCATGGGCTTAGACTAGAAAAGGACCTCAAAGATCTCTCATTTTACAGGTAAGGAAACTGAGGCCCAGGGAAGCTAAGTGACTTGCCCAAGGTTACACAGATAGTAAATGGAAGAAGCATAATTCAAAGAATCTGATTCTGAATCTGTTCTTCCCACTGCTCAACGATGCCTTCTCAAGTAACTTACACTCTACTAGACTTCACAGGCTTCCTGAAGAAGTCAACAAGCATCTATTAAGCTCTTACAGTTTGCCAGGCACTGTGCCAAGCACTGGGGATTCTTTCCTTCCTTATCTCCACCTCCTGGCTCCCTTGGCTTCCTTCAAATCACAATTAAAGTCTCGCCTTCAAGAAGCATTTTCCAATCCCCACCAATGCCAGTGCCTTCCCCTCTGTCGATTATTTCCAATTTATCCTGTATGTAGCTTGTTTGTATGTAATTGTTTGCAAGTTGTCTTCCCCACTAGAATGTGAGCTCTTCGAGGGCAGGGAGTGTCTCTTTCCTTTCTTTGTATTCCCTCCAGTGCTTAGAACAATGCCTAGTACATAGTAAGCATTTAATAATGATAATAATAGCTAACATTTACATAGCACTTACTATATGTCAGCTCTGTGCTAAGCACTTTATAATTAAGAATAACAATAACAATAATAACTAATATTTATACAGCACCTATGTGCCAAGCATTTTATAATTAATAATAACTATCATTTATATAGTGCCAACTATATGCTAAGTATTTTACAGTTATTATCTCATTTGATTCTCAGGACACCCTGGGATGTAGATGCTATTATTATCCCTATTTTACAGATGAGGAAACTGAGGTAAACAATGGCTAAGTGACTTGCCCAAGATTACACAGCTAGTAAATGTCTGAGGCATGATTTGAACTCATATCTTCCTGACTCCAAGCCATCCACTGCACCATCTGTTTATTAAGAATACAAAGAAAGGCAGAAACACAGTTCCTGCCCTTAAGAAGCTCACAGTCTTATGGGGGAAACATGTAAATGACTATGTACAGACGTACCATATACAAAGTAGATGTACCATGATCTCAAAAGGGAAGACATTAACATTAGAGGGGATGAGAAAGGCCTCCTGTAGAAAGGAAAAACTGATCTGAGTCTTAAGGCAAGCCAGAGGAGTTAAAACGCAGAAGTGAGGAGCCGAGCATTCCAGGCTCCAGGGGGCCAGAAATAGTCAGGAGATCGGGAGTATCAGGTGTGAGGCACAGGAAGCCAGGTGGGGTAGCCAGATCATAGGGTGTGGAGTGGAGAGTGACATATAAGATAATTGGAAAAGTAGGAGGCTGCCAAGTAGTAGGTACGTAAGGGTACACACCGTATGCATTTGTGAAAGTGCTATACCTTTGACTGTACTCATATATGTGCATACACATTTGTGCACAGGGCTTTTAGACTCAAACTTTCTCCCCTATCAGTTTTTGGCAAAAAATTGATAGTTTTTTTAATCATTGCACACATGTGAAAAACCCATGGGTTTTATGTACATGTATGTGAAGGCATCAGTTCATATAAACCTACTTGGGAATGCACGTGTGAAAGTAGAGATACTTTCAGATATGTCCACAAACACAATTATAAAAGACAGCATGGGGCACATCTGTGCTCAGAGGCCTTGACTGAAAGACCTATTTAACTGTCTCTGGTCCAAAGTTGAGGGACTGGGAAGGGGAGAGGAGAGCAGGAAGAAGTGAGAAGGGGACGTTCTCAACCCTGCCCCTGCCCTTCCGGACAAGGGAAGAAATGAATATTCAAGGTGCCAGGGCCTTTCCCACTCCACCCCTCATGCCAACCCACACCCACCCAAGGCCCCTATCTGGGTCACAATTTAAGAGGAGGGATACCCAGCTAGAGGGTCATAGCCTGAATCCCAGGTTACAGCTTGGGAAGAAGGATCTTGGCTATAGGGTCACAGCAAGGGAGAAGAGTACTGTTATCTGACGGGGAAAGAACAGTCGGTTCTTGTGCCTTAAAACTTTGTCCAGAGGTCCCGCAGACAGAAGCCAAAGTCAGACTACTTGGGTTGAGGTGGTGAAACGTTACCAAACCATAAGTGAGGAGAAGGTTGTTTTAGGAGACTGCCAAGACTGAAATGACCCTCCCCACCACCACGACCTCCTCTTCCCCTTGCCATCGGATCCCCTCCCTTACCTGGCGCTGGATCTGCTGCTCCAAGAGTTAATCGCGTGTGACCCTAGGAGGTTTTAAGGAGGCCGAGTCCGACTAGGACAGCCTACTTTCTCTACTTCGGACAGGGGCAAATCTGTCGGCGTAGTCCGGAAATGGGTACAACAGCTGGAGGGGGGAAGGGGTACACCGGTGGCCCTGGGAAGAGGGGGCTAGGGAAGAACACAAGGGAGGGATCTGGAGGCGGGGGTCATAACCAGGGGGAGAAAGAAAAGGAGGAGAGGGGAGAGTAATAGGATAAAGAGAGAGGGCTGTCACACTAGTGAGGGACAACTAGGAGAAAACACCTCAGGGGAAGAGAATGTAAGGTAGGAGTTCTCCCACTCGGGTGGAGGGAGACAAGGAGGCTGGTAGGAAATTCCCAGATCATCAGTTTCACACACACACATACCCCCCCTTCGCCTCCCTCGTGAAACTTGGGAAGACTATGCCCCTCCCGCTCTGCAAGAGCCCCCTGACCCACTCCGCCCGTCTGGCGCCCCCACATGTGACAATCCCAGACAACTGCTCCCCCGGCACCAGCTGGCCCTGGCGCCCCCTCCTCCCTTTCGGTTTACCGCCCTCCTCCCCACCGCCCACCGCCCACTGCATCTCCCGCAGCCTCCGCAGCAGCTGAGACAGCTCTGACCACCAGACTGGGGAGGTGGAAACAACCAACCCCCTCCTTTACACACACACACACACACACACACACACACACACACACACATCAAACTCTAATCCCTGGCAGGCCCAGAGGTTTTATTTTAAGGTCTGGGGAAGGAGACGGGCTGACTGCAGCCTCCTCTGATCTTCAGGGGGGCCTAGGAGTTGCCCCTCAAGAGTCCCAAGGGTTACTCCCTTCTGCCTCATCACTTCCCTCCCACCCATCCACGGAGGGAAAGACAGAAGACTAACAAACATTGTAAGAACAAACAAGAGGGTTTTTATTGAACACTGCACAGGTCCTTATAAGCAAGCGCTCCCCCTGCAATGCCCCACCCCACCCCACAAAAAAAAAACAACTGAGGAACCTGCCCAGTACTGCCATACCCAAACCAGTGTGTAGAGAGCAAAGGGTTAAAAAATAATAATAATTGACCTGTCCTTAAGGAAGGTTCCATCCTTCCCCCTCAAAAACAATTGAGTAAAGGCAAGACAGAAATTGGTGCTGATGTCTACTGCTTTGGCTGAAAAACCATTTCATCAATGAATTTTACACCTCCTTAAGGCACTTATCAAAGGTTATAGTTATTGTGTATAGTCACTGACATCCCACATCCTAGGCAGAACTGAACCTGAGATCTGGAAGGTCTAGTCAACTTCTAAGTCTTTCATCACTGTAGGGTTTGCTCATACCAAAGGTTGAATACATTTGGAGTACTGTGTTCAGTTCTGGAGGGGAGTGGGGAAAGTGTTCCATTTTAGTAAAATCTAATTACATTTAGTAAAATCTGGAGAGCATCCAAAAGAGGGTGACCAAGATGCTGAGGGGCCTTCCAATTCAGACCATTTGAGAATGGGCTGAAGAAACTGGAGATACTTGGCCTGGAGAGGAGAAGTTTCAGGGAGGACATGTCAACTGTCTTCAAGAATATGAAAAGCTATCACATGGAAGAAGGAACAGGTAAAAGCTGTAGAGGGGCAAATTTACCCTGAAAAACTTCCCAGTGATGAGGCCTGTCCCAAAGTGGAAGAGGCTATGTCAGTCAGCAGGTAGTAGGTTTCCCTTTACTTGAGCATGTCTTTTCCTTCAAAGGGAGGCTCAGTGACCACCTGTCAAGGATGCTGCAGATTCCTTTTCAAGAATAGGTTGGGTGGGATAGTCACTGAAGTGCCTTTTGACTCTAAAATTCAGTGAAGGTTAAGCCCGCCTACTAAGGCCTACAGGAGTTCAGATCTGCATTGGCAGAGGAAAGACCCCTTTATGTGTGCTAAGGCTGGTGCCACTTTATTACTCAGCTTTCCAGCTTGAGAATCTCCCTGCTTCTGTCTTGCTTGCACCCTGCCCGCCTTCCTCTTTTTGGATGCCCATTTCCTCTCTTCTGAGCCCAATGATGGCTTTCATTCTCCATCTTGAGGCTCCCTGATTTTCTCCCTTCTGATTGTAAACTTGAGAGTTTTTAGTAGGGTTTTGCCATAATATGACATTTTGCCATTAAATTCCCCTTCTTGACATATGGGAAGGAAACGAGAATTCCTTAAGTGGCAGGCTTTCAATTCTTTAAAGTGAGTCAGTGCCCTGCTATGCCAATGCTGAATTTCCTCATATTGAGTAGACTCAGAATGAGGGAAACTAATATGTATATGCAAACACTTGCCCTTAAAAACAGAGATGGATGGAGGAAGGAGTAGAAAGCAACCCAAGAATCATGAGCTAGAGAAGGCAGACAGATGGGAGAATGCATTGGAGATGGTGAAAGAATAAAGCAAACTCAGAATCAGCTAGGTTAGGGCCCAAGGTTGGACTCTTATGTTGTTGCATGTTCCAAACATGTCCTTGCCATCAAATCTACATGAGATGGAGGTCAGACTGCCAGGCCAGAGGTGCTTCCATCCCCACCTCTCCATGATCATCCAGCTCCCAATGATGACCCTGTACCTCTCTCTCCCCACTCCCCCACTTCCTCTCCAACCCTTTTCTGAGCCTTGGCCTTGGCTCAGGACACATGGCAGATATGGGTAACGAGCAGAATCAGGATTCCGAGGCAAAGGGTTGAAGGTGCACATGTAACCACAGACTCCTTCAGCAACACCAAGCTGTAGAGTGAACCTGGAGAAGGAAGAAATAATAAGGCAGAACTCAATAAGCCAGCATTTGAAAAACTGGAAAACATAAATTACGTAGGAAAGAACTGCTGAGAAACTGGAAAGCAGCCTGGAAGAAATTAGGCTTAGATCAACACCCTGTGCCATATTCTACAATACATTCTAAATGTACACATGATCTTAATATTAAAAATCATACTATAAAAAAATTAGAAGAGAAGCAGGTCATACATCTCTCACAATTATGGGTAGATGTATTCTTTTTTAAATTATGTTTTTAGTTACTTCATTAAATATTTTTCCCAATTACCTTTTTAAAAAAAATTTAACATTCATTTTTTAAAATTCTGAGTTCCAAATTCTCCCTCTCCTACCTGCCCCTCCCCCACTCAGTGGGAGGGCAAGCAACATGATATCAATTATACATGTGAAGGAATGCGAAACATAATTCCATATTAGCCATGTTGCCAAAAAAAAACACAAAAAAGCAAGAAAAATAAAGTAAGTGAAAAAAAATATATTTTAATCCACACTCAGGGTTCATCAATTCTCTCTCTGGAAATGGATAGCATTTTTTGTCATGGGGCCTTTGGAATTGTCTTGGATCATTGTCTTGATCAGAGTAGCTAAGTCTTCCACATTTGATCATTGTTACAATATTGCTGTTATTGTGTAGATTGTTCTCCTGGTTCTGCTCACTTCACTTTGCATCAGTTCATGTAAGCCTTTCCAGGTTCTTCTAAAACCATCCTACTCATCATTCTTATAGCACAATAGCATTCCATCACAATCATATACCACTTGTTCATCCATTCCCCAACTGATGGATATCTCCTCAATTTTCAATTCTCTGCCACCACAAAAAGAGCTGTGATAAATATTTTTGTGCAATTAGGTCTATTCCATTTTCTCTGATCTCTTTGGGATACAGACCTAGTGTTGCTGGATCAAAGGGTATACAGTTTTATAGCCCTCTGGGCATAGTCCTAAATTGTTCTCCAGAATGGTTGTGCCAGTTCACAACTAGGAGATGTATTCTTAACTAGAGATAGAGGTAATTACAAAAGATAAAACAGATAATTTTGATTACTTGAAACTGAAAAGCTTCTTCACAGATAACATTAATACATCTAGGATAAGAAAGAAAGTGGTAGAATGGGAAAAAAATCTTTGTATGAAATTTCTCTGATAAGGTTTAGCATCCAAGATATAGAAACACTTAATAGATATATACTGTAAGACCAAAAGCTGTTCCCAAATAGATAAATGGTCAAAGGACACAAACAAATGGTTCTCAAAAGAAGAATTATAAACTATTAATAACAATATGAAAGAATTCTCCAAATCACCAATAATAGGAGAAATGAAAATCAAAACAATCCTGAGATTTCACTTCACACCCTGCAAATTGGCAAAGTTGACAAAAGACGGAAATAATTGATGTTGGACGGGTTGTGCAATGTTGATGGAGCTGTGAATAACTATATCTACTTTGTAAACTAATTTGAAATAAGGCAAATAAAGTAATTAAAATGTCCTGACCCTTTGATACAGAAATTGCACTACTAGGCTTTGCCCAAGGGGGTCACTGATAAGAAGAAAGCCTTTGTATCTAATTGTATCCCTACATAAGTCTAAAAAGTCTTAAAGCAGCACTTTTTTTTGATAGCAAAGTATTGTAAATAAAGTAGATGTCCATCGATTGGGGAATAGCTAAACAAACTCTGGCACATAAATGTAATGAAATGTTATTGTGCCATAAGAAATAACAAATACGATGAATACAGAGGAGCATGGGAAGAGATATATGAACAGATGCATAAAGAAGTAAACAGAGTTGATCACTACAATGTAAATGAAAAGAACTACCAAAAAACAACCAAAAGAGAACGGTGCAAATTCACTTTTTGCATCATTTATGCAAAATTACAAAGAACAAGAATGGCTCCAAAGAAGATATATGAGAAGACATTCCCACTTTACCCCTTTGCAGAGGTAGGACGACCACAGGTGTGGTACATTGCAAATGTTTCCAGGTTTGTTCAATGTATTGATCAGTTTTGCTGATTTTTTTCTCTTCTTTTTCTTTTCCTTTTTTTGTCTTTAAAAATATTGCTATACATGGGATGCCTCTCTGGGAGGGAAAATGGGAGAAATGCTGGGTAAAATTTTGGTGTGTAAAAGTCAGTCAACAAGCCCTGTACCAAGTATTTTTAATAAACAACTGGGGGTGGGGGAGGTACAAAGAAAGGCCAAAATAACAGTCTCTGCCCTCAGGTGCAGTAACAATAGCTCACATTTACAAGTCATATTCATAATCTACCTAGAGTCTCATAACAGCTCAGGGAAGGAAGTAGTGAGACTATTGTCCCCATTTTATAGATAATGAAGGTGAGGAGAGTGGTAGAGACTTGGCCAAGGTCACATAGCCACTCAGAGACAGAGTCAGGTCTTCTGACTCCCTGTCCAGTGATCTTTACCCTCCATTAGATCTGCCTCTCCAGAACAGCACCAAGGAGGAGTACAGTTAAGTGTCTGAGGTGGGAAAAGAGAGTCACAAAAATCCCTGGTCCTTCTTCCTCCTCAGCCAGGAGACAAGTAGACAAGTAAATACACGCAAGAGGAAGGCTCAGAGGAGGAACTGGGAGTGCCAGGAGACCTGGTCCGTGTCAGAGGGGCTGGTTTCCAGCCCATCGATGCCTACGCTAAAAAAAAAAATGTAAGCTGTATAATTGATATAATATTACTACTTGCCTTCTCAGTGGGTGGAGGAGAAGCAGGAAGGAGGGAGAGAATTCGAAACTCAAAACAAAATTATGAATGAATGTTAAAAATAAATAAATAAACAACAGGGGGCAGGACAAAAGGAAAAGATAAATGTAGTCATATCTGTAAATTATATGAAGCGCAGGACCCTCTGCGTAGACCTGGGCTTCTTAACCATTTATCCTTGACCCCTTGGACAGTCTGGTGAAGCCTATGGAACCCTTCTCAGAATAATATTTTTAATGATTAAAATATATAGAATTGCAAAGGAAACGAATTATACTGAAGTACAGTCATCATAAACAAACAAGTTCATAAACTCCAAGTTAAGAACTCCTGACCCAAACCCTAGAGGGCTTAGAAGGGGGAAGACAGGAAGGGTCACTCCAAAGGCTAAGGAAAAAAACACACATACACATACACACACACACACACACACACACACACACACACACACACACACATCCCTTTCCCAGGTTCTCAAAAAGGACAGGTTACTGACCCTGAGGAGAAGAACAAAATGGGAAGGAAGAAGAAGGGCCCAGTACCCATCACTCAGCCCCAGCCCCAACCAAACTTCGGCCCTGGCCCCAGCTTACCCATCATAAGCAGTGTGAGCAAAATGCAGCCAAGTTCCTGTAGTAAGGGGGGTCCCATGACCAATAGGAAAGCAGCCACAAGTTCCACCCAGCCCAGTATAACGAGAAGGTTCCCAGGATCTGGATTGTGGTCCACCAAGGCCTTCAATGGTAACACCTGAGCAAACTTCAACATCTGGACTTTCTAGAAGAGACAAGGAATGACCATCAATAGTCAATGAGGATATACTGAGCCCTGGCTGCTAAGAGAATTCTGGGAGTCTATCTACATTGTTTGCCATGGATGGGATACTGAGAGGGGACGAGAGGAAAAAGCCCTCCATGTCTCTGTGTTCTGAGTGACTTTTCTACCTGTGGAAATGTGCTATAGGGATGAATGAATAGATGGATGAATGAATGAATGAAAAAGCACTATGCTAAGCACTGGAGATATAAACAGAAAAACAAGACAGTCCCTGGCCTCAAGAAGCTCACGTTCTAACTGGGGTTTAAGGGGGACAACACATAGAAGGTTTTTCAGTTACAAGTCAGATGGCTTTAAAAGTCTCATAGATCTTAGGGTGCAACAGCAAAGCACACAGTAATTCACCTTTTTAAAAATCATTTCCACTGATTAAACCATACCCATTTCTGACACCGAAACATTTGTGCCAAAAACTACTATTATTGCCTTTTCTCACATTTACTTAGCAATTTAAGGTTTACAATATGTACTCCAGGGGCCAGCGAGGTGATGTAGTGGATAGAGCACCAGCCCTGGAGTCAGGAGGACCTGAGTTCAAATCAGACACATAACACTTACTAGCTGTGTGACCCTGGGCAAGTCACTTAACCCCACTGCCTAGCAAAAAATAAACAAGCAAAAAAAAGCCAATATGTATTCCAGTTGGGTTCTGAATTGGTCATCTGCTTCTATTTAGAATCAGAGTTGGAGGGGACCTCAGAGGACCTATAGTCAACTCCTACCTGAGTAGGAATTCCATTTACCATCTCTCCAACACAATATCCAGCATCTGCTCAAACATCTCCAGGGACACTGGAGGAAAGCACTACTCCAGAGACAGCCTGTTCCACTGCTGGACAGTTGTTTGAAAGTGATTGTTTAAAAGTGTCATCTTATCTGAAACCAAAATCTCCCTTTCTCCCAAACTTGCTCCTTTTTCTTCTAGTTCTACCCCGTGGAGCCAAGCATAGGAATCAATCAATCAATCAACAAATTCTTACAGTGGACCAGGCACTTGTGCTAAGCACTGAAGCTGGAAAGCAAAAAAAAAAAAAAAAAAAAAAGAGGAACGGTCTCTGCCTTCAAAGGGCTTCCATTCTATCAGGGAAGACAAGTCAAATCTCACACCCACCGCCATTCTCTTAATGCCTGAAGATAGCTATCATGGCCCCCTTCACTGAGCTAGAACCCATGATTTTTTCCCCTTATTCCCCTCTCATCCTTCTCTTCTCCAGTTCATTCAACTGATTCTCATAGGACACATTCATCAGGCCTCTCCAGGGCTCCCTCCTCTACATAAACTCCTATTTGTCAAAAGTCCCTCCTAAAACAGGACACTCAGAATTGAACACAATACTTGAGATGTGGTCTGATCAGGACAAAGGACAGCAGGACTGTCATTTCCCTCGTTCTGAACAACTGTGCCTCTAAATACAGCCAAAAATCCAATAAGTAGAACTAACCTTGGAGTCAGCGAGACTCGAATTCAAATCCTTCCTCAGACACTTACTGTGTGACCTTGGGCAAGTCATTTGACCTCTGTTTGCCTCAGTTTCCCCAACTGTAAAATGAGGATAATAATAACACCTACCTCCTAGTGTTGTAGTGAGGATCAAATGTGATGATATTTGAAAAGTGCTTAGCACCACACCTGGTACATAGTAGGTGCTGTATAAATGCTAGCTATCATTATTACTAACCAAGGTTTCAATAAGTGTAGAGCTGGACTTCAAGTTAGAGTTCAAACCCCACCTCTGATTTATAATGGCTATGTGACTATAAACAAGTCACTCAACCATTCAGTGCCCAAAGTAACTCTCTCTAATATAGGAGAACTGTCAAATTATAGGCAGGTTATAGAATTATTGCTGATTTGAATTGGCTAAGGAGTATCCTCTTTGGGAATTTCCTACATCAAAGAAATCACAAGTATAGGCAAAAAAAAATTTTAATAGTCATTTTTTGACCACCATGTCACCTTATTGACTTATATTGAACTTACACTTCAACTAAAAGCCTCAGGTCTGCTTCATATTCATTACCTAATTAAGCCAGATACCCCCTACCCTACACTTGTTCAATTGACTTTTTAAAATTTATTTATTTATTTTTAGTTTTCAACATTCACTTCCATAAGATTTTGAGTTCTAAATTTACTCCTCTTTCCTCCCCTTCCCCTTCCCCAAGACATCATGTAATCTGATATAGGCTCTACATATACATTCATAGTAAACATATTTTCACATTAGTCATGTTGTAAAGAAGAATTAGAACCAATGGGAGGAACTATAAGAGAGACAGAGAGAGCAAATAGTATGAGTTAATCTGCATTCAGATTCCATAGTTCTTTTTCAGGATGTGGATAGCATTTTCCCCCATGAGTCTTTTGGAGTTGTCTTAGATCCTCATATTGCTGAGAAGGGTTAAATTTATCAACATTAGTCATCACACAACGTGGCTGTTACTGTGTACAACGTTCTCTTGGTTCTGCTCACTTCACTCAGCATCAGGCCATACAAATCTTTCCAGGTTTTTCTGAAGTCTGCCTGCTCATCATTTCTTACGGAACAATAGTATTCCATTACATTCATATACCACAACTTGTTCAGCCATTCCTCAACTGATGGACATCCCCTCAATTTACAATTCTTTGCCACACAAAAAGAGCTGCAATAAATATTTTTGTACAATTAGGTCCTATTCCCTTTTTTCTGATCTCTTTGGGATACAGTCCTCAAAGTGCTACTGCTGGGTCTAAGAGTATGCACAGTTTTATAGCCCTTTGTGCACAGTCCCAAATTGCTCTCCAGAATGGTTGGATTAGTTCACAACTCCACCAACAATGCATTAGTGTTCCAATTTTCCCACATCTTCTCCAACATTTATCATTTTCTCGTTTTGTCATGTAAGCCAATCTGATAGGTGTGATGTGGTACCTCAGAGTTATTTTGATTTACATTTCTCTAATCAACAATGATTTAGAGTATTTTTTTATATGACCATAGATAGCTTTAATTTCTTCATTTGAAAACTGCCTGTTCATATCCTTTGACCACTTATCAATTGGGGAATGCCTTGTATTCTTATAAATTTGACTCAGTTCTCTATATATTTTAGAAATGAGGCCTTTATCAGAGACACTGGTTATAAAAATTGTTTCCCAGTTTTCTGCTTCCCTTCTAATCTTGGCTGCATTGACTTTGTTTTAAATTGATTTTAAAAAATACAAGTATCTGATTTTGCATTCCTATTAAAGTTTATCTCATTAGTTCAAGCCTTTCAAGGTCCTTTTGGAACCCAATTCTACAACTCAATAGGTTAGCTCTCCCATCAAGCTTTATGACATCTGTAGATATGTTAACTATGTCATCCCTGTCCTTATCTACCATTGCTAGCACAGGGCTGAGGATAGAGCCCTTCAGTTGCCCTGCCATTAGGGAATTCTTTTTAGTTTGGCTCTGCATTCAGCCTATGAAATTACCAAGGCAGAGAGTAGGTTGGTGTAGTATGTAGTTCTCACTGGATACTGGCCAACACAGCATCAATGGATAAAGTTCCATGATGATTATAGCTAATAATAAGTGCAATCTTAGGATTATAACTAACATAATAGGATAAAGGCTAAGGTTCGCAAAGCTCATTATATACATCATCTCATTTGGTCCTCACAAAAACCCTGGGAGGTAGCTATTATTAGCCCCATTTTATGATGAGGAAAACTGAGGCAGATAGGAAAATGAGGAAACTGAGAGAGATAGAGGTTAAGTGATTTTCTCAGAAGCACACAGTTAAGTGTCTGACACTGGATCTGAACGCAGATCTTCCTGACTCCAAATCCAGCACTCTATCTACTGTACCATCCAGCTGCCTAGCAAGAAGGAGGAGGAGGAGGAGGAAGAGAAGGAAGAGAAGAAGGAGAGGGAAAGGGAGAGGGAGGAGGAGGAGGAGAAGAAGGAAGAAGGAAAAAGAAGAAGAAGAAGAGGAAGAAGAAGAGGAAGAGGAAGAAGAAGAGGAAGAAGAAGAGGAAGAAGAAGAGGAAGAAGAAGAGGAAGAAGAAGAAGAAGAAGAAGAAGAAGAAGAAGAAGAAGAAGAAGA